GAGGAGAGACCGGTCCTTGGAGAAGGACATCATGCTTGGGAGGGTGGAGGGACACCACAGGAGGGGAAGGCCCTCTATGAGGTGGATTGATGCAGTGACTGGGATAATCGGGATGGGAGTGTCAGAGACAGTGTGATTGGCACAGGGCAGAGCAGAGTTCAGGGCTATTGTACACAGGGTCGCTATGAGTCGCAATCGACTCGACGGCACATAACAACAACAATAGTCAGAAGGGGCCAGTCTTTAGAAAATGACAGCATGCTGGGAAAGGTGGCGGATAAGTGAAAGAGATGAACTGACACCATGACAGTTAACAGTGGGTTTAAGACGGCAGATGTAGTGAGAATGGCACAGAATAAGGCAAGCTTCAGGTGTGTTGTTCACAGGGTCACTAAAAGATGCAGTTAATTCCATAGCACCTAACAACAACAAAGGAATGTATAGAATCTTGCCATATCATTCTTGTTTTATACGTGGTTAGCTGGTATAATGGCATAGTATAAACTATGGAAAGTAATTCATTTATGTAGAAATATAATCATGAGGAATTCCAGAAAGGTTTTAAGCAAGAATATTATAGTCCAAGGTAAGTGTTCACCAAGCATTAATTCAGGAAATACTCACAATCTCCTTGGTCAGCTGCCCAAGCAGACCATGCTGCCACTCGACTTCTAACATCCACCTGAGTGACGGTCCCAGGGGGCACTGGGGCAGGAGCTCTTGGAGGAGGTGGTATACCTGGATCTGCTTTGGAAATCATTCTAAAAAAAGGAGGAAAACAAACTCAATCTTTAACATTCTGCTTCTCTAACTCATGAACTCTTTCAATTTATGGTATTAGTCCTTCCATTTTAAAAAGATCTATTTGAAGGGCAGAACATTCCATCGTATGCATATTCAGGAATATATATAAAATATGCAACTACTGGAAACTTGAAATTCAGTTCTAAAACAGGTTGAATTTTTGTTCTCATGTCATTTGGGAACATCTATACAACTGTATTCCTAACGTCTAGTTTATATTGCCCCTAACTATAGTTTGAATTGATTCTCCGTGACTCCCAACCAAAGAGAGAGAAGTTGTATCAGAGAGCAGCCAAAAAGCAGAAAAAAAGGTGCACACGGGTACACACGGTGCATGTGCGTGCAAACATGCATGAGTGTGCATGCACACACACACACTGATAGTGCTATAAGAGCAAACAAACTGTGACTACAGCTAGCAATCTATGAAGTAGAATAGAAAAAAAAAGGTTGAGGTTGTTTGGGTTTTTTCCCTTCTCACTCTTTAGAGAGAAAAAAACCTTTAAAAACAAATCAATCCTACTCATAATTTCTCTTAATGTCTTTACCTCAGGGCCTCAGGCCGCCTCTTCTGTTTCCCACCTTTGCTGTCACTGATTGCACTTTCAATATCTTCACTAATTAGGTTTGCCTGCAAGGAAAGACAAGTTACCTGGGGTTTATAGATTTTCTCAGTCTTGATATGCAGGTTAAAACAGAAAAACAGATTATGTTGCTTGTCTGAATCAATAAATGTCTTGACAAGAAAGGAAAGCCTTTGGCTTTCTATCTGCATTCAATATACAACTCTCTCAGTTATTTAATGGTAAACATCACAAGGACAGAATTCAAGGACTGAAGAATTCTTAAATATTATATGATCCAAGATTTCCTTAGGTTTTTTCTTTTAAGGAAAAAACCCCTAGCCTCATAAAAAGGAAAATATAAAAGGTCATGATTAAAAACGTAAGTATTTTGAAAACAAAACTAGATAAATTTTGCAGCTTGAGAAAAAATGATAAGATTCGAGCATGGAAAGGGTTGAGTTCTTCCCCTTCATCCCTCTAGGATCCGCTGTTGTTGGTATTAGGTGCTATCAAGTCAACTATAATTAATTGCAATGTCACAATCTAAATCTTGCCGTATCCTATGTGATCTTCATAATCTCTAACATACTCCAGCTCACTGTTACAGTCACCATGTCAATCCACCTCACAGAGAATCTTCCTTCCTCTCCACCTCTCCACCTTTCCCAGCATGATACAGTCTTTTTCCAAGGACTGGACCCTGGGCAATCATTAACCTGGTGAAACAATTACTCAGTTCCAGCAGACCTACTCTCAGCATAAAAAGTCTTCTTTTGGGTTGTTGTTGTTATGTGCCGTCGAGTCGTTTCCGACTCATAGCGACCCTATGCACAAGAGCCCTAAACCCTGCTCTGTCCTGCGCCAATCGCACTGCCTCTGACACACCCATTCCAATTACCCCAGTCACTGAATCAATCCATCTCATAGAGGGTCTTTCCCTCCTGCGCCGTCACTCCACCCTCCCAAGCATGATGTTCCTCTCCCAAGGACCTATCCCTCCTGGCAACATGTCCCAAGTATGTCAGATGAAGCCCCAGAATCCTTGCCTCCAAGGAGTAGCTTGGTTTAATCCTCTTCAAGATGAATCTGTTTTCCTGGCAGTCCATGGTACATTCAACACTCTTCTCCAGCACCACAGCTCAAAGGCATCAACTCTCCTTCTGTCCTCCCTAGTCATTGTCCAACTCTCTGATGCATAACAAGCGATTGCAAAGACTATGGCCTGTATCAGGTGCACCTTAGTCTCCAGAGAGACACCGTTGCTCTTGAGTACTCTAGAGAGCTCCCTAACAACAGCCTTTCCCATCACGATATGCTTTTTGATTTCCTGACTGCTGGTGCCAAAACTGTTGACTGTGGAGCCGAGCAAACTGAAGCTGTGAACAATCTCAATCTCTTCACCGTCCATCCTGATGCTGCCAATTGGTCCAGTGGTGAGAATCTTTGTCTTCTTGACATTGAGCCTCAGTCCATACTGAAGGCTGCAGTCCTTGACCCTCTGCAGCAAGTGCATGAGGTCCTCCTCAGTTCATTTTTCAATTTTGTCATTTCTGATAAAAATTAATGTATCCTTGATGAACTTTTCCAACAAGAACAGCTGACTGTGTCTCTTAGGAAGGAAAGATTATGCAGTTTATTTATTGACAGTGATGATGATGATGATGATTATATGATACATTCTTGCCAGGATGTATTCATCTTCTCTTTTTGTTCCCAATTATTTTTGTAATGATGTATGATTTTCTCAAATATGTGTACTGTGTATTTGGTTCCATTATAAATATCACATTAAAGGCTTTCTATGGGGTGTTATAGTTGTTGTTATGTGCTGTCCAGTTGCCTGTGACTCATAGTGACCCTATGTATAACAACTTTGAAGCCTGCCCTATCCTGAGCCAGTCTGACTCCACCACACCTATGTCCATTGCCCCAGTTAATCATGTCACCTAACACTAAATTTTTGGAGCACTAATTTAACCTCCATTTTTAAAGAGGAAGCAGAGGCATAGAGAAGTAATGCATGCAAATTCCTATAGTAAGTGTCAGCTATTGTGTAGTATTCAGTTTATTCCAACTCATACAGTCCTAGAGGAAAAGTAGTAGTTGTTGTTATGTGTCATCAAGTTGACCCTATGTACAACAGCTGTGAACCCTGCCCTATCCTGAAATATCACTGACTGTGATACACCTACTCCCATTGCCCCAATTATTGCGTCAATCCAACTCATCCGGGATCTTCCTCCCCTGTGCTGTCCCTTCACCCTTCCAAGCATGATGTCCTTCTCCAAGGACTGGTCCTTTCTGGCCACGTGCCTAAAGTATGTGATATGGCACTTCAAAACCCTAGCCTCCAAGGAGAAACTTGGTTTCACCCTTTCCAAGAAAGATCTGTTTGTTCTCCTTGTGATCCATAATATGTTCAATACTCTTCTCGAGCACCACAACGGAAAGGCATTAATTCTTCTTCTTCCGTCCTTAGTTGTTGTCCAGCTCTCTGATGCATAGCAAATAATTGTAAAGACCATGGCCTGAATCTTAGTCTCTAGACTGACATCCTTGCTTCTCAGTACTCTGAAGAGGTCCCCGATCACAGGATTTCTCAGTACAATTCTTCTATTGATTTTCTGACTGCTGGAACCAAGAGTGTTGATTGCGGAGCTGAGCAAGCTGAAACTGTTAATGACCTCAATCTCGTCTCCATCTGTCTATGTTAATATTGAGGATGCTTAGGAATTTGGACTGTTCTACCAGAGGACTATTATACTTTCAAGAAAAATTTTAGTGAAAGTGAAACAGGAACATTGTGTGAATTCCCATGAAAACAAACTTTAAAACTCAAAAAGGCTATATGAAAGGAATTTTACCATATTTGATAGTGTTAGTTATTTTCAATTGGGGGAAAAAAGAAAAAAAAACCCCAATCTATCTCATATGGAATACATATTATTAAGTAAATGCTACAGCTGATTAAGGGTAGGTGACTTCTTCACTATGGAAAAGCATCAAGTAAATCATTTCAGATCCATCAGTATTACCACTCTCTATCAAATAAAGCAAGTTCTTATTCTCAAAATGGAATTCTATCATCTTTACTCAGAACAGTATCTCTCCTTTCCCAAGGGAGTGGTTAAAGAATTGATGCAATACCATACTATATACTATCAATGTCTTAGCTCTGTTACTAAAGTGTTTAAATTTCACTAATTTTCACAAAGAAAAATATTCAGTAGAACATACTGACTTGATACATCTAACCTTGCAAAACTCTTAACATACTTAAATTGACATATAAAGCACTATAAAAAAGATGATGAATATTGCATATATAAATTACATGTAGGAGTTTCTTTCAGATAAAATGTTTCAGAAAATAATCTAAGATATAAATTGGAATAGAAGAAAATTATAAAACTGCCACTTTAAAATTATCATATTTTAATGGAAAACATACAGAAAGAAAAAGATAAGTAATTAATTTCCTAGCATTTCAATTTAAGATATTTTATAAGAGATTAACACAGTGATAAATCACTTCATTGACAAAGCAGCAATTAACACAAAATTACTTCCTTTTGAAAGAAATCAGCTCTTGAGATAAAGATATAAGGTTGAAGACAATTTCTAAAGTATCACAAATTATAATCATTTTAAAATTAAAATGTACTTTAAAATACAAACCTTCAGGATATAGCCTATGATTACCGGTAACTATGCTCAATTATTCTTGCATATCCCTTGGAGGTTACAACTCTAAGCAATTTTTCAAGTCACATAATTACACAAAACCTAACAAAATCAACCTCACTGAAAGTGATTCATTTCTGAGTCAGAGTGACACTGTAGACAGAAAATTGTCCCACAGCATTTCCAAGGCTGTAAATCTTTACAAGAGCAGACTACCAACTCTGTTTTATATAGAACAGCTGGTGAGTTTGGATTACAAACATTTTTTGTTTAGTACTTAGTGTTTTATCACTATCTTGAAAATCAGTAGGATAGAAATTCTAATGTTTAATAAAAATAAGAAAACATGATTATTCATTGTCCATCATATACAGTAATTAAAAATCAATTTCTACTTTTATAAATTCAAGGTATTTGGTAAAATCTTTATTATATTATCTAGGATGATTTCTTTATAAATAGAAAATCATGATTTTTATGCCACTTTCTCTTTACTTACTTGGTTTTGAAATCCTACAGAAAATACCCAAGTATGTGCTGTCAGAAAAATTCTCAGAAGGAAAAAGTCTAGTGTCCACCAGGCATAGGATGGAAATAGGTAATATGTAAGCTGTCAGACGAACATTCGCTGGAGGGGGCAAAAATAAAATCACATTTTCCCTTTTTTTACCTTAATCTCATCACATTGGAAAAGATGAAGATCTGGCTTGCTTTGGGTGGGTTCTTTGCATACCAGGGCAAGAAGTGAATCATAGTTGCAGGAATGCATCACAGCCTGGCAGTGCTGGATCGTGTTTAAAGGAAAATTCTCCAATTCATTCTAGAAAGTGAAAATATTACTTGCTTTATTTTTTATTCTATATTTAAAACCAAAGAACTCCAACAAAAAATTTTTGTTTTGATTTTTTTAACTTTCATTGTAATTTGAGTGAAAGTTTACAGAGCAAATTTCACCAGACAACAATCCATACATAGTATGTTTCCTGACATAGATTACAATACTCACATTGCAATAACACTCTTCTAGCTTCTCCCTTCTCATTTCCATTCAACCCTCCATGTTTTCCAACTTCTTTCATGCTCCCCCTTCTCCATTCATCCTTCCTGCCTATCCCACCCTTCTTGGGACAAAGGCTGCCCTCTGATGTTGTCTGGTTGACTGATCATACGAAGGTTTTCTTCCCAGGTGTTAGTGATCACCTTGTAGGCCTGCCTGTGGTTTGGCTGACAGCTGACTCACAGTGGTGATTTCAATCTCTGGTCTGAAGGGGTGCTAAAGGAAACAGGCTTTCATCAGTCTCTATCATATCAGCAAGGCTGGTCTTTTTAGTGATTTTGAGTTTTGTTCCAAACTCTTCTCTTACTCTATCAGGATCATCTGCTGTAACTCCTTCCAGAGTAGTCAGCAATGGTAATAGGACCCCATCTAGATTTTCAGGTCTAAGAGCTGTGGTGACTGAAAATTCCTTTTCATCTCTATCTCTGTTCTTCACTCTGAATGGTGAGGGATCAAAAGCTGTGCTTCAGATAGCCATTTGAAAGCTTCTAAGACTCTCATTTACTGGATGTAGACCCGTGTCTCTGTGGACTTCGATAATTGACTTTGATGTCCCCCAACAATGTGGTCTTGAGTGCCGGGGCAGCAACTCATTCCTTCCAGGTGTTTTGTTATAGCTAGAAGGTTTCAATTTTGATCTATTGACCACACTCATCATACAAATAATTTTTAAAAGGTGTGAAACACTATAAATACAGAAGATGGTTAGGCAGGAGAAAAACAGTGCCAGGCACTAAGCTGAGGCAATATGACAAAAATGGGAATATGTAACCAATGAGCATAACTATATAAAGATAATACTCAATTTAAAATTACTGGGGTTTTTTTCAAATTATAAGGAAAATGTCATGCCTTTATGAACAAAAGAGGTACTAAAAAACAAAATAATTATATATTTTGGGTAGTACTCTATAAAGATTCATACAAATAAAACACAGGGCAAATTGAACTTTTATTCATAGTTAGAAATAAGTATAAAATGAGAGATATTTATTCTTATATTAAGGAGCTCTGGTGGCCCAGTGGTAAGAATCTGAGCTGAAATCTTGAAGCTATGCAGTTCGAATCCAACTGCTGCTCCCTGAAGGAAGGATGGGTAATCTCCTCCCATGTGATTAGTGCCTAGGAAAACCCACCAGAGAATCATCTATGGGGTAGTTCAGATTCAATGGCACACAACACCACATTCTTAAATTAGTCAAATTCATATTCAAACTCATTACTTTTATGTTATAACAGACTCACAGCTGATCCTCCAGAGAATTTTCAGAGTAAATTACATGGGAGGAGGATGCCCATCTTTCTCCCATAAAGCAGCTGGTGGATTCAAACAGCCTACTTTTGGGTTGGTGGTGTAATTCCTTATCTATTAGGCCAAGAGATATAGTATTCTTCAAACTGGAGTGTCAGGTATAGAGTCAACTGCAACTCAATAGCATTTAATAACGACAAACTTAATTCTAAATCTTGATTCCTTGGAAGCTGACAGAGTTAAGAAATACAGCTCCCATTAAAATAGAAATTAAAATTTAAAACCTCTAAGACATACAACAAATATAATAAGCATGCTTTCTTTTTCATTTACAAAAGTAAATGAAATTATGTTTTAACCTGTAATTATTCAAAACCATTAAAGCTAAAAGCATATTCAGCTGTTTGCCTCCAGCACACAATGAAATTAATAAGACACACACACACACACACACACACACACACAACACACACACAAAGGGATGAATTTTACGTTCATTCCTATAAAAACACCCGAATATTGCAACATTATGTTTCTTACTTCTTACATCTTGTTATTTGTGGGCAAAGTAAAAATTTCACCCTCCTATCTCAGCTTTAAAAATGTGATTTTGCATTTATATATAACATTTTTATCCCCAAACATTCATCCATTTTCAGATCAACTTGATGGCTGGTAAACATTAATATTTGTTGAGTTTTCTTGAAAATAAAATATTCTAACTTAACAAAACTTGCCTTTGATTCTAAATCAATCAGGCTCACGGCTTTGTCATCGACTTGAAGAATCATATCTTGAGTCCACACTTTGCCTTTGGCATCAAGCAATTTCAGCTTCCTGATTCCATCATCAATAGTTATCATAGCATCTTTGCGGTCCAGAACAAAAGTAGTCAAGTGCTTGAGATTGACAAAAAAATAAAATAAAATTATAATATATACACTCCTTTCATCATTTCCAAAAGAAATCAGAGCTACTATAATTGAGGTCAGCCAGTAGAGAGAGAAAGAACATGAAAAAGTTACTCTAGAAGTTGGTGGCTATTTTACAGAGATAAAATCAAATGGGCTTCTGATGAATAGAAGAAATAACACTTTGATTCATAAAATAATGAATTCTGTTTAAGACTGGGCTACGTTTAACTACAGAAAAATGATATAAAAAAATTCTTAACAGCAAAAGTAAGTGTCTCCTAAAACTAATTTTCCCATCATTTTATTAGATTGTGGGTTAAGTGGTAAACAACATCATGAAATCTGTACCACAGCTTCAAAACAATACAGATACTTTAGAGTATCATCTGTACCATCTATGAAACTCTTCTTTTTTTAAAATAATTTTTCAATGTTCATTTTAACAAGTTTACTAAAAAGTTAGATTTTCATTCATTCATTATTTCACATTTTCTACCAAACTTTTCATTGTACCAAACTATCAAAACAAAATATTTAAATTAGCATGAATGATAGTTATAAAATTGAAAGCAAAAAGATATTTATTTATTTCAATATTTTCTCTTAGAACCAGACTCACCTAGATAAACCCCCATTAAAAGTAAAATTCTTAAATGACAGCAATATGACAAAACCAAAAAGAAGCCCTGATTTAAGGAAAAAATAGGAATGACTTTAGATAAAACTAAATGTAAAACAAAATCACTCAACCTGTCAAAGGCTTAATTTCAGTAAGATTCTATAGTATCAAATAAAAGCACTTTTATAGTGATCAAAATAAAGTTGGCACTGAAGAGTAAAGTTATCATTATAATTTGTTCTCTATAAAAACAGATCTTAGACTAATAAGACACTTTTCTATGTCTTATTAGACCTAAAACACCTCCGTTTTGTTTTTCTTTTTTTTAAACACTTCAGTTTTACAAAAATCTAAAAGACAAGACCACCATAAATTAAAATATTTTGCAGAAATGAAATCAAGCATAATTCTGATTTAGTTTTTATCCTTCAAAAATACTTTGAGTCTTACTTCAACTCGGTACTGGGACACATCTGTAACACTGCTGATACTGTCTCTTGCATAGTTCTTCCTTTGTTCTAAAAAAGAAATGTAAAAAGTCATTATTTATCCACTAATAGGCTGGAGTTCATGTACTCCTGTCATGTGGCTATCTCTAAAACTAGTCTATCTCACATATAAATACAGTAGTTGACAAATCACCATTGTTTGGTGTGTCTGAAAACATTCATTATTCACAGTAAATCTTAAAGTCACAAGAAAAATGAAATGACAGGCATGAACAATTTGATCTAATAGAAATTTTCAAAATCCCAAAGTTAGCTGGATTATAAATACAGGAAAAAGAGTGATTTCATTATGCCAAAAATAAAAAAAAGAAAATAAAAATTGCCTTCTAAGTTTTAACTGTGTATGCACTGAAAACAAAACAGGACTGCAAAGACTGTCATAGATACTGTATTATATGAGTTAGACTACATTATTAAAATAACTAGACACTACACAAACATCTTTCACAACAGTCAATGATAGTGTTAAAGAAGATTGAAAACATGATTCATACTAATCATTAAATATTAGCAATTTTCACACACATCTATAGAACACACAAATGTGATGCTCAGAGTTGTAGATATAAACTGTTAAGAAAAATAAGTTATATAGGCAGAAAGCTTCTAAACCAAACCATTTACAAAGCTAAAAGAAATTCTACTTTTTCTTTAGTGAAATGCTGCAAAACCAAAAATGACATTAAACTATATGGAGGAAATTTGCTTATTTGTAAATGTAAGTGACCTAGTAGTGCCTTAAAGCAGAATACAAAATATAAAGATTAAAACAGTATCAAACCTATAGCTTTAAAATTTGAGCTTCTTTATGCAAGAACAAAAATCTAACCTTCCCCACTAAAAAAAATAAAATAAACATGCTTATTTTAATTGCTATGAAACCTTAATACTTCCTATACAGCAGATATGGAAAAACTCATCTGTGCATAAAATAAAAATACTGAAATAAAGAGTATAATTTAGAATAGTAATAAATGGAATTTAATAATTGTATTAATTTTTATTTTATAACATACATAGATAATGAAAGTTTCCATTTATATTTATGTAAAAGTTTATGAAAGTATCCATTAGGACACTCTAATGTTATTCCAAAAAGAATCTTATTTTTGCTTTTGCAGCATGAAAATTACTTAAAAACAAACACACTACAGAGCTCAGTATCTGTGCTACCTCTCTTTTTTTGTTTGGATGATGACCTGAAGAAGTATGATCCATCTGTTCCTACCAAAATAACGTGATCAAAGCAAGATCTCATTTCACCTCACATTTCTAGTCTGAGATGACATAAACATCTTCACATACATTGTTATATTCTAGCTAATGCAAAGTTAACAAGCATGTTTATGTTGTTGAATACCATCGAATTGGAACTGACCCATACCTGATCCTACAGTAGGCTTTCAAAGGCAGTAAGCCACATTAGAGGAGATTGCTCCTCTTTCTTCTGGGGAGCTGGTGGATTTGAACCATATGCCTTTGGGTTGACAACACAAATCCTTACCACAAAGCCATAAATCAATGTGAAATATTAACCATTGTTCTTAGGAAAACCATTATAATTGGAAATAAATAATAATAGGGGCATAAATAGTGAAGGCACATTAATAAATGATCACTATTTCATAATTAATGGTTTATTATATCAAATATATTACTGTCCATGGCCAACTCCAAATATGACATTCACTCACTGCCCTCAAATTGGTCTTGACTCACTGTAACTCTCTAATAGTAAGCTGCATCAGCAGAAAATTGTCCATCTTTCTCCAGAGGAGTCACTGATGGATTTGAACCACTGGAGTTACATAGACTCGTCGTGACTGACTAACAACAAATTTCACTCTAGATTATACAACCAGAGGTCCCTTCCAAACATTTCCTAGAATCTAACATAGGGAACTCCGGTGATCTAGTGGTAAGAAGCTGCACTGTATTCCTCAAAAGTATGTGATTTGAATTCACCAGCAGCTCCATGGGAGAAGGATGGGAATTCTCTTCCCATGTGATTAACTGTCTCTGAAAACCTTCTTGAGTGTCAGCTGTGGGTCAGTTTTGACTTGACAGCATACAACAACTTAGGGATATCAAAGAGAAATAGCTTTATACTGGCAGTTCTAGTATATACAAATGCTTGGATAAGCCTTTCAGATAACTGTCTGACAAATCTAGTTGAAGGTAAAAAAAAAAATTCCATTATCTTACTATGTCATTCACTAAGAATTTATCCCTTAGATTTGACTGCACTGATTCCTCAGTTCCATCAAAATGCTTTGTGAATAGTGTGATTACAACTAATCCATTGCCTAGCAAATGCATACTACTGTTATTATTGTTAAATAAGAACTTATTCTCAGGGGATTTCTGTTAGCCTAGTGATAAGAAGCTGTACTGCAATCATAAAGGCACACAATTCACATCCACCAACTGCTCCCTGGGAGAAGGATGGGCAATCTCCTCCTGTGCAGTTGACAGCCTCTGAAAATCTGCTGGAAGGTCAATTATGAATCAATTCCGACTCACTGGTGCTCAACATCTATAATTTATTTTAGGAATTCCTAAAGCAATATTATATAATAAGTAAGATAGATATGCATTAAGAGAACATTTTCTTTTAAAGGTTCTAGAATGTCATTGAATAGATTTATAAATAAGCCCATGGTCACCCTGATTTAAATTAAATAATTAGAGATTAACATGAACAGTTAAATAAGCAATTTTAAACAAAGGTCCCCCAAAAATCAATAGTATATAGTATACTTCTTTCTTTTATGTAAATCCTATGTACTCAAATGTCTAGTTGTAAATGTTTGTAGGCTGACAGAAATTTCACTAAGAGCCTTAAAATGGTATGTTGAAGCCCAAGTAAAATCTTTTTCACTCATGTTGAAGTCTCTAATGAAAGTTCATTATTTTCTGTAACAATACACTTCAACTTTTTAAGGGGTCAAAAGAATACCAGGGCTTGGGACGGAGTTCATTCTGGTTTGAGACTCTGATTGAGAATTTGCATTTCAACACAGATAGACAGAACCAGACCGCATTAACAATATACCCTAGTGATACTTAGGAAATTCTCAAGTGATTACATAAAATACACTACAGATAGTCACAACTATGAAAGATATAAACTCTGAAAGACATTTATGCCAAACTAGAAAACAAAATAAGATTCATCTGGGGAACTTGTTAACATGTAGATTCTGACTCAGTATATCTGCAGTAGAAAGGTACATTTTCAACAGGAGGTTAAGCCAGACAAGCCAGTTCAAAGCCCTGAAAAATACTGGCTCCATAGATTTTAATCTTGGACAGTCTGGACACTGAGAGTTGTGAAAGCTCCTCAAGTGATGTGAACATACAGCCAATGTTATCAATCACTGCTCAAAAATCTGTGCAAATACCAACTCATCTATATGCTATCTCTTCAAGGTGAAAACTTCTCTTACCAAATTAAGAGTATAAGTCATGGCTAAATAGTATAATAAACAATAATGAAATAAAATCTGCCAAAATCTTGGATTTATTCTATTATATTCCCTAAACTAAAATTTGGAATCCCTGTCACCCTAAGAATCAATTAGCAACAACAGCAACAAAACAGGATCCATCCTTCATTTCTCATAGTACCACTGTTATGTTTTACTATTTTTCTTATCAACTTCATCTATGGAGCACAAAAAAAGAGTTATATTAAGGAGCGAAGAAAAACTTTGATATGATATTTTTAGTAATATTACCTTAAAATGTTATAGCATAAACTGATAATTTTCAGATAAGAAATATTAATTTAGGTGTGAGTAAACTCTTCAGATAGTACAATATAACTGTGAATGTGAAACCTTCAAAAGGGTCCCTGGAGGCACACTAGTTAAAGCACTTGGCCAGTAACCAAAAGGTCTATGGTTCAAAGCCACCAGACACTACTTGGGAGAAAGATGCAGCAATTTTGCTTCCTTAAAACTTATTGTCAGATGCTGTTAAGTCTGCTCACACTCACTTCAATCCTACACATAAGAGAAGCATCTTTACAATCTCTGATGTGCTTACATCTGTTTTATTGCCCCCTCCTGATCACAAGCCCAAAGCATGTGAGATAAAAATCTGATCATTCTCAAGTCTAAGGAGCCTCCCACATTTTGCTAGTTCTGGCAGTCCACAGCATATTCAATATTCATTACCAACACCACAATTCAAAACCTCACATGGCAATTTTTCTCTGTCCTGTGAGGTGTCTGTTAGAACAGGATCTATGCGGATGATTTGCTGTGTTGTTTTTTTTCTTAATCGAAGTTTCAGTATTTGAATTCTATCCCCTTCCCCTACATGGGTTTTCCAGGGAGCTCAGGCAGTTTACTTTGTGCATCTACAGTGGTCCCAATTCACCAGCTCAGGAATAAGATAAGCAACTGCCTCTCGTTTCACTTTGCAGCCTTGGAAACCTAATGTAGGGTTGTGATGAGTTGGAACTGACCTGACGGTAGTGAATCTGAGATAGAATTTAATATTTAGAAATGCAGCTAACGATATAGAAAATTTCTACTTCTTCCTGTGAAATAAAGTGTTTCTTAGGGAGCAAGGATCTGTCAGTTACAAAAGGATAAAAAGTAACTAAAAATGGCTGCTGAATATTTCTCTAAATAAGCTATCTTTCATATTAGGTATTTCCTTTACCCTTACAGAAACTTTCAACTACATTAAAAACTGAATTCTCCATTATCTTAATTTATCATTTCTATAGAGGAAAGGTGCTTAGTGGAAATTAGGAAAAAGTGATAATTACAAAGTCTTTTATCTAAGCAACTAAACTCCTAGTGTGACAGATTAAGATATTATTTTTAATTATTATTTTTAAAACACAAAAAAACATTCTCCCAAAACTACATTATTTAAGAATGAATTTTATTGTTCTGTTCTTATCCTGTGAGGAGGGAAGAAACTTTAAATGTATCAGGTAAGCCGGGGGAATTGCAAAACTGTCATTTAGAGTCACATGCTCTAGGGCTCACTCTGGTAATCAGGTGCTACTTACTTCTTCAAAGAATTTCAGAAGAATAGAATTTGTTCTTCTAATGATATATTTGTATTTATGTGGCTTCCCTAAGTAAAACACACTCTTTAAATAGTGGAAAATAATAAACTAAGAAATAGGAAAAACGGAAGTGGCCTTTAAGTTTTGTCTAAACTGTAACTTCTGCATGACTGCTTGGGTTTCAAATGTGACAATCAGAGATTAAACAGCAAGACTGCCAATCAGTATGTATTAAGAGATAAAAATAAATTTAAAAAAAGAGGAAACAATAGTAGAAAAGGGCAAGAAAAGAGCAATAGAAAAAGATAAAAGTTATGTGAATAGAGCCCTGGTTGGTTTTTGTTTTGTTTTTTAAGTGTCATATTCAGGAACATTGCACTGAGAAACTTTGTCAAGTACTGGGCAAAATCATAAGGGAGTTTATGGAAAATTCAGTTGTATGAACACTGACTTTTAGTTTACAGTTAGTTATCCTACATTTTTATCAGTTTCTCCCTCAGTAAATAATGCACTGATGTTGAGTTAATTCCAGCTTCTAGAGATCTTTTATCAGGTTTCCAAGGTTGTAAATTCTAAAAGGAGCCTGACCTCCATTGTCCCCAGAGCAGCTGGTGAATTAGAACTATTTAAAGTGGTATGGATCTTGGATTAACAGCACAGCTATCTATGGACTACACCACAGAGTCCATTCCTCCTTCAGTAGAAAATAAAGGGTAAAAAAATTATATTCTCTGATTTACTAACATGATGAAAAATTCAAACTCAAGGTTAAATTAGACTTGACGAGAATGCACCTATTGTTTTATCTGTTGTTGATTGTCGTCGTTGAGTTGAACACGACTCAAAGTGACCCTATAAACAAAGGGCTTGAAGCCTTTCTATAATTATTGACATTTATCGAAGTTCATAGAGTTTCCAGAGGCATGCTGTTTAAGAAGCAGATGCCCCTCCTGCTTCCAAATTATTTTACTTAGCCTCTCAATATTAAAAATCTCAAAAATACTCTAAGTGCTGGTAAGTATGACAAAATATTATTAATCTGAAAGAACAAGATTTTCTGGTAAACAGGATGCCTTTAAACAGCTGATTATCATGGAAAATGATCATGTTGAAAATTCAGCAACAACAACAATTAAAAGAGAAGTTACTTTTCAAAAAAATTCAGCTATTCTGAATAAAGCACACAGTAAATGTTCTGAATGGTAGGAAGTCATCATGTTTCAACCTTAAAATTTGCATATTTAATGTATAACGTTTTATGAAGACATTAAATCTCAACTCTTAAGTTATTTCTTCTGCTAATGAGATTTTCAACCTTTACTGGCCCACAGCAAACGAGAAGCCTCGAGTCCCAGCACCAGAGGAAAATAAAAACCAAAACAACAAAACCTAGCCTGAAATATTCAAAAGGAAAAATTCTGAACCATTTGTATAATGAGCGCTCTGGTGGCCTAGTGGTAAGATTTTTGCTTTCAAAACCCCAAGACACATGGTTCAACTCCACCAGCTGATCTTCAGGACAAAGATGGGCAATCTACTCCTGTGTGATTGTTTCTCAAAACCCAGTGGAGGGTCAGCTATGGGTTAGTTCCAACTTGATGCTACACAACACAACAAAAAAGCACACTGCAACGGATGAGTACCTTTCAGTACACAACTAGAGAGCACAATGATGACCCACTGCATCAAGATATTATACCTGCTATGATCTGAGAAGATTTAAATAAATTCTTAATATACTAAGCAAGTGTATTCTTTTAAATTTCAGTACTTAAGCAAAAATACCACCTAAAAA